GCTCATTCTAAGGTAACAAACACTTACTTTAGGTGATTATACACTAATGAAAACATACCTTTGAATATTATTCCATTACTGCCAACAGATCTTCCTAAATGTTACACACTGGACCTTTAAATTCTGAAGATAGGTAGGTAGGCTCTAACTAATGAGTAAAATCATCTTACAACATCCTCAAATCCAAATAGGTCCAAACACAGGGAAAAACTGAGAACCATCGTTCCCCATTAAGGAAACACAACACAGCCCTCTCTGATATGCACATGTTGCTTGCCTCTCCATAACAACATGCATGGAGGGAATGCGACGAAAGAGTGAGCTCATTTTCTTTGCAAGGGCCAGAGATCCTGACAGCGAGATAGACCAATCTAGATAACAACCTGAAATGACCCTTTTTTCCTGCCCTAGTTGCAATGCTTATGTGTATTATGTGTATTTATTTAAGGTAATATTCAAGTTTAAAATAAATGAAATGAATCTTATGATATTTTGCACTTTATAAAGACTTACAATTGGACAGGCTCCTTTTAAAGCACTTTATAGATGATGGTTTTCTTCCAGGGTTCACTCTGCCTAACATAATTTCAAGTGGAAGTGGAAGCAGCTAATAATATCTGTTTTTCTTTAATCTGATGGAAGGCAGTGATTTACTGTTTTCTTTCTCATGTTAGGATGGATGACATTCAGCTCTGCAAAGACATCATGAGCTTAAAGCAGGAGCTGAGACAGATTGTCGCAGTACCAGGTACAGTTCAAACACACACATATTCTCTCTGTCCTCTGTCAACATCAAGAAAAACAGCTGTAAGCATATCAGGAAATAAACTACTCAGAATTGATCCTCTGTGTGCAAAACTGTCCACGCTCCCTGTTTGGACTCTTGGCAGAAAGTGCTTCTGTTTGCAGCCTGCCAGTCCCATAAGCTCAGCAGGCGTCACAGTGATTTATAAGAAGTGTCGTTACGCTAAACTACGCAGGATTGATCGTAAGTCTCCAGGATGTGTTGGAGTTATGGGTGAGAGATAATCATACGCACAAACACACATTTATCATCACTGTGAAAGCTTTCCAGGCATGGTGTCCAAAATGAATTTCAGTAAACAATCATTTTTACTCCCTGGATGCTTTTGCCGTGTGTTTGTGGGACAGAGTACAGAATCAAATATTGGTTTAAGTCCACAGATATGCAGCGACTATGTCACTCGAACAGCAACAAGACATCCGCTGTTACCAGGGAAAAGAACCAGTGACCTGTCAGTCACAGGGCGTTTTTTTTACCACTTTGCAGCCCTGCGACGTACAAACCAAATAAGAACTGCAACAGTCCTGCAGTAAATACTGCTGTTGTGAAGCTTATGTATAAATGCTGTCGCTCACCTCTGTGGTCACCTGGTGTCCTCATTTGTGGCGGTGTTGCTTTGATTTAGGGTTGTAGTCAGAATTTAAAAAATACTGAGGTTGTGACTCCCCCTAGTGCAATGCAATCTACAGTCCAGCCAATGGTTTCACATTATTCCACTGATGGCATGTGGCAGTAATGTGCCATGATACACAGCAATGTGCCAAAAACAGCAGGAAAGAAGAATTTTGCTAGCAAGTAAACATTTATTTAAAGTACTTTATTTTTGTGTGGTTTTTATGCACCAATGCACCAAGACAGATTCCTTGTGTACGTGTAAAAACTAAACCCAGTATAAACCCAATTCTGATTCTGATTCTGATTTCTAAACAATGCTGGATTCAAACTTTCAAGAAAAATTTGCTTTCCAAACATTTTATGAGGGAGGAACTGCATTCAACATTGTGAGAATGCGTTTTCTTATTTCAAAAATATCTAGCTCTAAGGCTCACTTACATGCTTGTTCTGGAGTTTCCGACTATGTGACAGATCCTCATCAGTGGTCTCAAAAAAATGTTACTTTCTCATATTTAATTTATTGATCTGTTCAGTTACATTTTGCCAGAAATAAAGTTCAGTTGGAGAAATACTGAATCCTTTATTCAATCACTTTTGTTGGCTGACAAGTAGTCAAATTTAAATATAATGAGTTCAAAATGGCCGGAACCTGCCCTTAACATATCCACCACATGTTTGCTAAATGAATACATCCCCCCAGGTTAGTGAAAGTCCAGAGGATGCGAACTCACTGCCCTCAATGGTGGCTTCAGCTTCAATGGACTGGGTTATATGTATAGCCAGCCCCCTCCCCATTTGGGATTACTGGTCATACAAACTGCACACAAAAACTGCCCCTCGTTGACATTCCCATGAGCCACTAGGGCCTCATGTGTGCAGTTGTTGGGGGACCTGGCAGCCCGCTACTTCACTCCAGCAGAATGAGTCACATGACAAACAGACCCTGCTGCCTCCTGCTCCTCTGACATTGGGATTGTAGCCATGATGTGCCCCTCTGATTGTTGTGCCCTCGGGGGGATACACACTGTAGCTGCACTGCTCCACTTTATTTCCGGATGGGAGAAAGAGCTGATGTTTGCAGTTGTTTTTCAAACCCATTTCCCCCACCTAGCCTATATACCAGCAGTGTCAGACAACTTACCTCTGCAGCTGCCTGCACATGTGTGTGTCATCCTGTGCTTTGGAGTGTGAAGGTTAGGAACATGAGACGAAGCAGAGAAGATGTTGTGTTCATGGATCTCTGACTCTGAATGCAAATTCCTTGGCCAAATGAAACAAAAAACAGCTCTCTAGCATTTGCATAATTAAGTCAGTGCCTTATTTGTTATAAATTATACATGAGGGGGGAATCAAGGGTCTGTTTGTGATGTGACTCACTGTTTAAGAGCCAGCTGACTTTGCTGTAAGGTCAGTTTGGAAGTAACTAAACGTACAGAGCCTGCATTTATGTTTTATGTTTAGGAAGTAAAATATTAAGGTTTCGGGTCAGTCTACTTGTCCCTACAGCCATCAATATATGAATTTGTTTAGGACTCTGCCTTTCTTTCACTTTCATCATCCTTTGTCCCCAGAGAAAGAAAAAACTAAGAAGCACAGGCAGCGGGAAGAGGAGCTGATCCTGAAGATCCATAAGCTGGTGCAGAAGAGGGATTTCCTGGTTGACGATGCTGAGGTGGAGAGATTAAGGTAGAGCGCTCCCACACACAGGCGCAGTTAATATCCGTGAGCACGTCTGTAGGAGCCGACTGTGTTTGCTTACACAGACGGAGTCGGGTGGAACTGTTTATTTCATTTGATAGACATAGGATGGTTGAGAGACAGCGGGTTGGAGACTCAGAGTAAATGTGTGGAGCAACTGTGAGCATGACTGAAGGCGGGGGACAGGGTCACTCCATCATCACAGCACTGCTTGCTCTGTGTGTGCATGTGTGTGTGCATGTGTGTGTGTGTGTGGGAGGGAGGCTGACTGATGACCGTGGCTCTGCATTGTCATTTTCTACTTATTCCGCCCCTCTGCCCACAGATAACCCACAGAGTGTGACAGAGATAACTTTGATATGAAATGATGTGAAATCTTAGGCTGGGTTTTAAAAACATTAGACGAGCAAATCAGATTAATCAGAATTATTCTTTATGATGCACCAGGAAAGTGTGTAACATTGTGATATGGCAACATCAAAGCCAGATGTAGCTCTATCCTTTGCTTCTCATATATTATTACACTCAAGTCACAGAGATAAGTCAGACCAGTTTTTCTGAAAGATAGTCTGTCAGACTACGTTCACGCCAGCAGCTCTGCGATGCTGTAATTGGGCACAGTGGTGCTTTGAGCAAAATGCTAACGTCCAACATGCTCACTCTGACAAAGCTAACACACTGATGTATAGCAGGTATAATGTTT